TATATATATGACCCCATTTTTTTTTTTAATTGGAGTTATCAAGATATCCATCACATATGACTCCTTTTTTATTGACGGTATATATATTGTATGTATTTTCTATAATTTTACTAAATATAAACCGTACATATACCGAAAATATACTGAATATGGACAATATATATAAAAAAAATAGTTTATGCTTGTTTTAAATCAGTTTTGAATATTTTTTAGTATATGTTGAGTAGTATTGTTTATTTTACTTTTATGTTTTGTAAACAATTTTATTAAAAAATAAAACCACACATTACACAACAAAAGACCTTATCTATCTATATTAATGCCTAAAATAATTCACACAGTTGTACAGGTGGGTATATATTGCGTTTATGTTAGTATATATTCCGTATCTGTTGCAATGGAAACATGTATTCCATAAAAGTTTATATACATATACTATACATATACTGATCATAAAATAATAGAGAGAGATAAAAAAACATGTATTATGTACATATACTGCACATATACCGATCATAAACTAATTTGCGACAAGGAAAACGTGCCATCTCTCCCAAGTCCCACCGTCTTCTCGGTTTTTTTCACGACAAGGACCAAGTGCCACCAAATTTCCGATCTCCGACCTCCGAATTAGCGGCGACCCTCTTGATTTTTCACCACGAATCAACGTGTCCTCTTGATTTTTTGCATTGAATCGGTAGTGATCCGCATAAATTGCCGTTTTCCTAAATCGCACTTGCCGCGATTGTCGAGAATTCCGGCGGGATAGGCTACTGCTTGCCAAGAACCAAATCAATTCTCCAGAAGAATCAGCCCAATTAAACTTGCTGCTCTTCCTTTGTATATGTCAAGCCTTGAAAAATAATCAAATCCTCTCAAGCATGTCCCCTCTGATGCTCTTGTTTTCCTTCCAAAATAGAACATGCGCCAGCACCCTTTTCCAAGTCAAAAAGTAATACTCATGTGAACTGATCTCCACGCCAATGCACACAAGGAAAAAATATATTTTTTTTCACCCCTTAAACCGTACGCCCCTTGCAATTGGTATCTCTACTATTTCCTTCTATCCAATCTTTTCTTTTATTTTCTTTTCCTTGCAGGACTCTATATTTTTGTCTTCGCCATTGAAGTAGGTTGGGAAACCGATGAGAGAAAGTTTTTCTTTCTGTGGAGATGGTGAACGTGGGAGGTGGGAGATCTTTTGGTTGCAGAGATATTGTGTATTTAATTTTGCCCGTAAAATATGCAACTTTCTCTTAATTATCTGCTATAATTTAACTGTTATTCATTTGGTATATTTGCAATATTTTAGGCTTAGTTTGGTAATTATATAAATATTTATATAATGAATGTATAATTGTAATATAATTAAGATGATAAAGTAAGGAGTGCAATTTCCTCAAATATGGCTCCCAAGTGTGAACACAACTAGTGGGCCTGGCCCAACATTTTATTCACACTTGAATAATAGAACATTCCACTAGAGTGATACTATTGCACTCCCCATTTTGCTCTGAATTACAAATAATTCGTCTCCTGACTAATTACTCGACTTACCTCTTCATGTTTAAGATCTAACATTCATTGATTAATTTAATTACTGACAATATAATTAATCAACTTCTATGTCTGAAACTAGTGCCACGAAGTTCTTTATTATTATGTTGGAAACTAATTCGCTAGCAGGGCTTAACATAGTAATCATTCCTGAGCTAATTTCGGGGACGTCATCAATTCGGTGGACCGGAACACAGTGACTGTAAACAATGTTGAAGGCACATCCTGCAACCGAATCACTTACCAAAGTATCGAATATGTCGACCTAACAGAATATGTCTCACACTTGATAAATCAAATATACAAGTGTCGAGTAAATATGCTCGTTTATTGTCTTACGTGTTAAGAGAACGAAACTATTATTGAGGTCTATATAATATACTTGGTCAGTATAAAATAATCTTATATCATGTTGGTTCGTTCAATACCTCTGAGATGTACTAGTGTAATTCGTTAGTCAAAGAACAACTAACTCAAAAATCACTCTACGGCCTTTCACGGCAGTTAATTCAATTATGTTTAGGTTGTAAACAAATAATATATTTTACAAGCCACCGATAGTATGATCTTTTTGTTCGACACATCGAACCATATTATTATCAATAAATGGAAGAGATAAAAATACAAGTGAATTTGAGAAAGGGGAACATGGACAAAACACGTTTCTCTACCACTATTGAAAGCGTGATTTGGTTTTGTAATTGGATTTAAATTTTGGAGGATCAATGAAGGAGCTGTCATATCCCCTTTTTACTTATTTATTTTCCTACGATTTTTTGAATCAATGTATGTACCATTAGTTTCCGACACTAAAGGGAACGGTCCTGCCATACCCACACTTCCCAATCCCTTGTCTCATCTTTTCTTTTGTTGCTCTTTTGATGTATTTGTTGAAAATTTTCTGTGATGAAGTGATTTATCATAGTTATATAATTGAACATTTCTTTTATAAGGAATATTATGTCTTGTCTATGTCCCCACCTATTTTTTTAAGGTCCTATAACTCTTCATTAATTACAAAATATAGGCAGAGAGGATTTGAATCTCCAACCTCTACCAACTATATATAACAGAGGTGTCAAGACTAGGACTGCAAACGAGCGAGCTGAGTCGACCATTGACCTTATCGAGCAGTATTGATTTTTTTTAGCTGTTCGAGCTCGATTTATGAGCCTCGAGCTCGCCTCGATAGAAAATCACAATCTCGAAATCAAAATGCTCGAGCTCGACTCGAGTTCCGCTCGAAAATTTTTAAATGGAAAAAGTAAAATTACCATTAAACACGTGATAATATATATATGGGGTATTTTAGTAATTTAACATATGCCTCGAGCCGCTCGACAATGCAAAATATGGGCTCGAGCTCAACTCGGTTTCTCTCTTAAAGGCCAATGAAAGACAATTTCTTTTTTTTTTTTTCTTTTTTTCTTTTCTTTCGGCACTATGAACTTATTTTGATTATTTTTAAACTTTGGCCAACTTGAGATTTTGGTATATGAAATTATTATAAGCCACTAAAAAAAAAACAAAAAATGTTAGATTGCAAGATATGAAAATTGCTTAAAATGTTAGATTGCAAGATATGAAAATAGCCACATTCCATTTGTATGAAGTTGCTGGTATTAGTTGGATGAGGCTCTATATCATTAGGGTGGGTTTGGTTGGAAATGGGTAATGGGCTTGATTAATTCCCACATGCCTTATTAGTTTAATCCAACTGATAGAATCAGGTCCAATAACTTGTTTGTTTCTTGCTCAATATTAATAACTATAAAGGGGATTTACATAATTAACCTTTATTTACAGTTAAATTTGGTAAGTGCACCCTTAAATCGAACTTTCCAGCACACAATTTCATGAACCCCGCGAAAAACATTGACAAATCTAACACAAATTGAACTGGCCAACACCAATAGTGACCTCAAACCATGAATCAACCATATGTGAATTAAATCGGGTGTAAGAACTATGACGTCGCTAAGCTATGCAGACTCGAAATCTTCTCATGCCAACTTCAATTTCATCTACCTCCATCTCCCATTTCATTTGCGAAATTCAAAAATAAAACGGAGAACAACGACGAGGATTTGGATTTCGGGGTTTCAATTTGAGTTAAATTAAGTGAAAACAAAAGGATTTCCAAAGGTCTTTTGCCCAGAACAAAAATTATATGTGAACAACTATCTATTGGAGAACGGAGGTGTTGGGAAGGTGGTTGAATGACGATGTGTCTAGCTGGTTGGCGGCTCTAGTTCCGGCACCTTCTTCACACCTAATCCCCAGCAGACCTCACAGCTCTTGTCTCGACGGCACCATATCCGAGACTGCTATTTCATAAGGAACTGCAAGGTTGGTGGGGAAGTAGCTTGAGGACATTTGTATAATTTAGGCTTATGAGCTCAATATGATAGTGTATCCAACAAAATTTGTGGGATACGGCATAAACATTTTAATGGATACATCACCGGACCAAAAGTTATTCTCAGGGCTTAATAATTGCAAACCAAACATGTTAAAGGGATGGATAATATACCAAATAGTTTGATATCACTCCTTATCATGTCAACCAAACTGACCCTTATGGAACAAACAGCTCATCACTTATAGCCAGAACTCACTCCCATTGTACCATTATTGACAATCGGAGGCATTTATTTACACTAGAAAGAACAAAAACACCGTAAAAACTTCTGCATAACCTAAACCATCGTGGATGAAAAATCATTAACAATTATTTTATAATCGACTGGTTCACATGTCGTAAATGACATTACCATAAAAGGAAATTTTTTCCCTCATACTCCCTGGCATCATCTATATTTATTGATGGAAGTCTAAGCCTATGTTTGGTTCGGGGGAAACGGAGGGGAGAGGACGGGAGGTGAGGGAATTTTTTATTTTTCCCTTGTTTAGTTCAATTTTTTTGTAGGGGGAGGGGTTAAGATTTTCCTTCAAATCCCTCCTCCAAGGAAAAATACCCTCTCCTGTAAGGTATTGTTTGGTTTGGGGGATTTGGATGGGAGGGGAGGGGAGGGGATGGAGAATTCTAATTTTCACTTGTTTGGTTGCAAAATTAGGAGGGGAGGGAAAAGAAAATTTTAAGTAATTTTCCCTCCCCTCCCTCACTTTTCCTCCCATCCAAAATTGGAGGGATTTGGAGGGAAAGTGTTATATGGTAATATTAAATGACCATTTCGTCCCTATTTCCAATTGTTTTTAATTGTTTTATTTTACTATATTAAGGGTAAGTTTGTCATTTTAATTTTATTTTCCCTTCCTTTAATTTTTTAACCAAACAAGGTTTGCCATTTTCCCTCCCTTCTCCTCCTAAATTATCCCTCCAAACAAGTTATTTTACATCACCTCTCCTCCCCTCCCTATCTCTCCATTAAAATTCCTCCCTTCCCTTCCCCTCCATCGAACCAAACACACTCTAAAAGTGGAGGAATTTGGAGGGGAGGAAAAATTTTTAACAATAAATTACTCTTTTGACCTTAATGTGAATTATTTTATTTTTTTGTTTCTTACATCATTAAAGATATAATTGTCATTTTTATAATATTTTCCTTCCCTTCCATTTTTCTAACCAAACAAGGTTTACTATTTTCCCTCCTCTCACCTCCTACAAAATCCCTCCAAACAAGGTAAAGTTATTTTACATCACCTCTCCTCCCCTCACCTCCCTTCCATTAAAATCTCTCCCCTCCTTTTCCCTTACTTGAACCAAACATACCCTAAAGGAAAAACAGGCGTAAGTAGGTTGCGAGCATCCGAACATAGAAGCACCCACAATCAACTGAAAACTGTTCGAACCAGAATACATGAGATAAAACGCAGGTTTTGTTTTAAAGTTTTGAGAGTGGAGTGCAAAACTAATATATGATCCGATAGTCAAACAAACTTCCACATTAAAAACCAAAGTGCAGCATCATATCCTGCAAATTCAAATATTAGGTGAATTGTTTTAACATTGCAACATCAATATCAGTAGTATGCACAGCTATTGGGTCCGAGTCCTGCTATTTTCTGCCGCCCTCACTTGCGCGAAATATGGATGGACCTAAGACCAATAGCAAAACGGCCATGATAAAGTACAGGGTTAGAGTTCATAAAATAAATAAATAAAAAATAAATAAATAAAGCAAACGACGGGATTGAGATGAAAAGAACACAAAATAAAGCATGACAAAATCATAAGAAAATTTGTATCATCTATAATTGCAAACCCCCTTGTGGTTAGTAAGTTCAAGTGGCACCAGTTTTGAAAGATAGCAGGCTTTTTTTTTCTGTAATTAATATAAGAGCATTTTTTGTGATTGATGCAAACAATTATCACAAAGCAAAGCCGAAAGTGAAAAAAACTACCATGGCTTCTCTTGCTGTGAGCCTTTCCTCGTGATCATAACGCAGAAGTTTGTCGAGGAAATCAATGGCCTGTTACAAAATAATTTCGTAACTTGAAAACTATGATAAGAAAAGACAGTTAACATTGTTTGCAGGATGCTTGGGATTTTTAAAGGGTAAAAGTGAGAGGTTGAATGAATGCACAGACCTCTGGCGATACAAGATGCTGATTCTCTGGAGTGACAAATTTTGACCAGGGTTTTCTGCTGTGCCTATCAAATGGAGAAGTAAACAAAGTATGTGCTATTATGTCATATAAAATATCAGTGTTCTAAAATAGCTTAAATTTAGCCATTAAAATACCCCCCTTTTTAAAGTTTTGACAATAGAAATCAAGTACCAGAAGTAAAACGCTAAACTTAAATAACAATAGCTAATATTTTCGAATAAAGGGCAGTTGGTGCCAGCTGCAACTGGCCAACAGCGAGATGCGGAGGACTGTGGACGCCATACAATAAGCGGTGGTCTACAGTGGGAGCTGGAGTTATCCCTTTTCGACTTTCAACTTTGTTTTCGATTATACTGGCCTTTTTTTTTTCTTTTAAATTCGTTTTTTCTAAATAATGCCAAAATCTAGTGTGGTTCAAATAAAAAAATAGCGCTTAGTGTAAGATCGAACAATATTATTTAATTGTGTAATATTTCATTGTGTTTGTTGTTATTTTATTATAATTTATTTATAAAAATACCAATACCATAAAACATATTTGGTTGTCACTGCTCTCATACCAGGATTTGTTTCTTTTACAACTGTACCCTCCATATATATAGGATTTGGCTCAAATAAACCCTTAGTGTGAGAATGATACCAGGATTTGTTTCTTTTAGATATAAATATACGATTTGACTCAAAAAAGACCCTTAGTGTGAGAATGGTAGGAGTAAGGGCAAATGTAAGTGAAACTAAATATTATTATACAAAAAACATAGAAAAGAACACAAGGTTCTCCAAGAACACGAAGTTCGCCTCGGGAAATAATCCCGCCCAAGCTAAAAAGCCGACAAACAATATAATTTCTCTCAATACCTAACGTTCACTTCCTCACAACCCGTATAAGCAAATTAATTATATAAAGTAATAGATAATAAAGAATAAATAACATAGCGAATTTAATATATTCGATTATCTTAAACTAGTCGAATACGAATCACAAATTAAACTCGATAACGAATCGAATACGAATACAAATACTTCAATATTTTTACGAATTCGAATCCAATAATTGAGTAATCGCTTCGATTCGATTCGTTTACAACCCCCTAATGAGAAGTATAAGTCAGTCCATGTGTTTAACTTGTTTTTAATATAAAAGTTTTTGGCTCATAGCATGTACCTCCCAACAAGAGCTTCAAGTTGAGGATCAAGCTCCAAACAGTATTTGTGTAAATATGCATTCAACTCATCAGTCCCAAGTACCTGTAACAACAATCTGACATCAGGTGGACAAAGGAAGAAAGAAAATAAGAAAATTTATGATCGTTTTGAGAGGCAGTACTAGGCTATTTTACATTATACCAAAAAGCATTAGTAGAAACAAATCTAATTGAGAAGCGAGAAACTACATTAGAAGCAAACCAACAAATCAAAAATCAATTAAAAAGTTTTACCCTAGCAATTTTGACAAGTTGATCTTGATTGTCATGTCCGTAAAAGAAATGTTCCTTGCGGAAAATCTGCAGTAACAACAAGGTTACAAGATGCAGAAAGAGGTCACTAAGAAAAACATAGTTGAAAGATAAGAGAAATTATGGCCCACTCTAGACTCTCACCATTCCCGCAAACATGCAGCCAAGGCTCCACATGTCCAGAGAATAGTCATAGTCTTGCAAGTCAACAAGAAGTTCTGGACCTTTGTAGTATCTAGATGAAAACAAAATCAGGATAACTCGTACCCAGTAATATTCTGAAGACATACAAAAAGTGGCATACATAAAATCCCAAAAAGGAATAAGTAAAAGGAAAAACAATGAGATCCACCCTCATCGTTACAGTTCCGGGGAAGTACATAAAAGGACGTAACCAGCAAATGCTGAGAAATATGAGGGGTGAAGGAGAAAGGGAGAGACAGAGGTGGATGAATATATCATTCCTATATTTGAACATGAACTTAATAGAGTTATTAAATGAGATTTTCAAGTTTCATTAGAAAAATAAAGACAAAAAAGATTATTAATGAAAATCAAAAGGCATTATAAAGAAAGCTATAAGTCAGTTTTACAAAGGATAAGATCTCAACACTTTCTATCTGATAGAAAATAGCCGTGACTTACCTCGACGCAACACGAACATTATACTCCTTGCCGGGATGGTAAAATTCTGCAAGACCCCAATCGATCAATCGAAGCTTTCGCAACTCGTGGTCAATCATAACATTGTGAGGCTTGACATCTCTGTGCATTATTCCCTGCGAGTGACAGTGATCTAGTGCCTATAGAAGCATAAAGAAACTTGTCTTAGATAAAATATTAATTATAAGAACTAAGATCCTAAAGAATATGTGACAAGTACGCATGCATAAATTTGTTTCTGACGAAGTTGTTTAGAGATTCAGTGCCACATTAGCTCATTAAAATGAAAGAAAGGTTAAAGTATCAAAAGTACAGCTCCAAATCATGGTCATGCAAATCAAATTCTTCTGTTTCGTTCGATGAAAAAGTCTTGAAACTGTTCAAACGGAAATGTAAACTAGGCAATAAATCAGAAGAAATTTAGTAGAGATCTAATCCACCAAAAAACAAGGTAACAAAGAGCTTCCTTGGGCATGGACAAGAGCACTGCACTTGCCCATCGTTGACCAACCCTCGGTTAAATCCTACCCAGCAATACTGGCCCAAAAACAAAAGACTACTTCTACGGAAAGCTTCTAGCCAGAGCTTAACGTGAATTAAAAATCGTTTAAATAATGTCATCCACTTGTTTCTTAATTTGTAAATTCCATGGCTCCTTCTATTAGGGCATCAGAAAAATATATACCTCCATTCTACTAAGAGCCTGAGTGATTATAAATTATCTAGTAAACAATTTTTTTTAACTCAAAATCTAACTAAAATTAACTTCACTGAACCATTCTTAGTATTATCGATATAATTAAATAATACCAATCAATCAACCTCACACATCACATCAACTCTAATTCACAATTCATCCAATCACTTAACTTTAACTACTCATCACTTGCAATCATCTCTCTCCTATTTTTTAATCAAATCAACTTTAATTATTATATTTTAAATATATTTTAATACAAACTCAAAGTCCCATTCAAATCTAGCTCAATCAACTTTTAAAAAAAAAAAAATAACTTTGGTTATAGCAACAAATTTAATCAAATCCAAAATAACTTATATCGATTGGCCCTCTAAGAGTAAGGGTAGCAAAACATCCTAGATCTAGCCTGGATTTACCATATATTCAGTTAACTTAAGGGGTTGTTGATTGGTGTTTAAGAATTAGAGGTAGTAGACATTTCTAAGCTTAGCAAATATAATCCTTACAACCTTTCTTATGATAATCAATATACGAGCATATCATAACGGTTGGATTTGCCTCTTGTCAAAGGAAATAAATTCACATAGAAAGATGTGGATCATGATTGGCTTTATGCCAATGGTAAAAACTAAAGATTTTCATCTCACCTTGAGAAGCTCATAAATAGCTGGCTTTATGCCAATGGTAAAAACTAAAGATTTTCATCTCACCTTGAGAAGCTCATAAATAGCTGGCTTTATGCCAATGGTAAAAATTAAAGATTTTCATCTCACCTTGAGAAGCTCATATATGTAATAGCGTATGTCATAATCTGTCAATGTAGGGTACAAAACTTTGTAATCTGTGCTATTCACAAATTCAAATATCAAGCTCGGAGTTTTTGAGTGTTGATCCCTAACGATGTCCAAGAGTTTGACAATATTGGGTCCCCCGCATAGGTTCTGCAGTATCTTGATCTCTCGCTTTATCTGCAAAGAATTTGACAAGTTAAGGGGGTGTTTGTTTAAAATTTTTTTCAATTCTTCTTCAATCCATACTCAAAATCTAACTCAATTTTAACGCAACCTCACTATCTTAAATATTATTAATATAATTAAATAATATCAATTAATCATTTTTACACATCAACTTTAATCATTTTCATCCACTCATATAATTTTAACTAACAATCACTTCACATCATCTCTCTCCTACTTTCATATTAAATCAACTTTAATTATTTTATTTTGAATATTATTTTAATATAAACTCAAAATCCAACAACTAACCATACCACTTTTCTAAAACTAACCCTCATTAACAAAAAAACGACTCGTTTTGAGCGGATATATTTGTATACAAACACGCCCTAAAGCTCTCACTGATGAGCTATTGATACACTCAACTATTACAACAACAACAACATACCCAGTATATTCCCAACTGGTTGGGGTCTGGGAGTGAGTTGTACGCAGACCTTACCTTGTAATTATACAAAGAGGTTGTTTCCGTAGCGACCCAAGGTGCATTGCGTCGTTTGATATATTTTTTTTCTAGAAACTTCACTAATAGAAGAAGCACTAGAATTTAATTGAGCCATTTAGCACTATGCCAGGAGAATTGTCAACAATGACTCTTCCAACTCCATTAATAGAAGAAGCACTAGAATTTAATTGAACCATTTTGATACACTCAACTATTATTTTCATATTTTTTCCGCAGCTGCAGCTCATATTCAATAAGAATAAGCATTATATGGACAAAAATACTAAGGCAGTATAAGACATACATAATGCCACTAAAAGATATGACTAATTTGCTTTGATGTGTAACAGAAATCAAATAACATAAGTATATTTGAATGTTTATAAGTCACCAACACCAAATCAAAACGAAAAGAATCCATGTAAAAGTAGAAGAACAAGTATGAATTAGGCATATCTAGCATACAAGAGAAAACTCACTCTTCAGATTTAAACTAGAGAATAGGTCTTTCTTAGAAACTGAAAGATCTCAAACTATCTTTATTTGCAGTCTCTTGGTGAATTAAAAAAGACAACAAAATACCTTCTTCTTCTTAACAGGCTTCAGAATCTTGATTATGCACCTTTCATTGCTGTTCACCACATTTATACCTTCAAAAACTTCACTATATTTCCCCCTTCCAACCTTACGAACAACCTCATAGTCATCCTGGTCACTGATAACAGATACCAAGGGAGCTTATACTTAACATTAGTTTAATATCTGCTGGAAGTGCACATATTCAATATAATCTTGCATTGAAAAGTAAAGAACATATTCTTAATTGTTTCGTATGAAATGTAGTTCGCTCTTCAACAGCACATATCAACCTGTATTAGGCTTAAAAAGAATGAACATCCAAAATGAATGCCGCAAGTGACTCAAATCAATTATGTGAGAAAAAAAAAAATATGGGCAAGGAGAACTTGCAACAGGACATATATATGTTACACGTCAAAAGATCCGTTGGAAAATTGCTAACTCTCCGACTCAAGAAACGTCTCAACACTTCTATGTTCTCTCATCTTCATCGTTTATAGGTCACAGTGATAACATACATTCACAAATGAGTCAAAATTCTAAGAACTGGAGGCCACTCAAACAAAGCAACTAGGGAAAGAACCAAATATTCAACTCTAAGGGAAACCAAAATGAACAAGATGAAGAGCCATAATTTCACATGATAGTTAAACCTCAACTTTTCCCCAACCAATAAGTGGCCCTAAGCGTAAAAAATGTCTATTTACAATTAAAATCAATCTCAGACATGCATAATCCACAAATCTAGGTCGAACATCAAACAACAGGAGTTAACCACGTATTAGGGTCGGGAAAGCACATAAATCAAGCAGAGCAAATGTTCCTGGATAACTCACCCCCACTGGACGGAGAGATTCTCGTAATCCCAGTATTCCCTGGGTCGCAGCACGTTGACGTCTGTATAGACCCGCGCTTTCGACATCTGCGAGGCGTGGATGCTCGGCTTGACGGCGCCGTCGATTTTAGCTACTGTTGCAAAGGACGTATGAAGAGGCAGCAACCGCCGCCGCGTAAGGAGCTGCACAACCGGCGCACGCAGGGCGACGAGTGCGCAGACGAGTGAGATGGGGAGGAGCAATACGGGGTAGTGCGCCAGCGGCGATGGCTGGCACAAAGTACTCTCGATCTTATTCTATGAATTGGAAGGGTTACAAATTACAATACGTATTATTATGATCTCCTTATCCAAATTGGGATTTACATGAAATTTGGTGGGGTGAAGGCAATTAATTTTCAAAGATATGATGAGGAAAACCGAACAGCTAATTTGAAGCACTAAAATTAAATCTACCGCATATCATTGGGCACGGTTGTACATTACCCCATGAATAACGGCGTATTGGTTAGTATTTTATTAAGAATGAGATTTTGAGATATTTTATCAATTATCATGTATTCTCTTGAATTCTATAGGATTTATTCGTTTAGGATTTTAAAAGATTTTTTTAGTATGTTAATAGAAATGAGATTTTGTGGGATTTTACGCAGGTAGCTCGGATACAGGTTTAAGGAGTCGAGCTGACAGAGCAGACACGACCTGGGGATATCGGCCTCCAAGAGCCCGGTAAAGTAGCCGAAGTCGGTATACCTCGAGGTCTGGTGGTCGGAGGACATGATAGATCAAAAGATGAGATTCCATCAGACCTCAGGACAAAGTCATGGACGTCCTCAGAAGGGCCATAACAGAGAGAATGGGAGGTTGTACTTACTACCTAAGGATCCCGGGCTAAAAACAGTAAAAGGGGGAAATAATCCAAGTAAAAAAAAATTAATCACTCGCCCTAAGACTTTTGCCAAGGTAGCGACGTGGTAAGTTAAGGAAGTAAAATTGGGATGGATATCTTCCCTAACAAGAACTATATTCGGCTTCAAGATATTATGTCCCATAAAACGACAAGTTCTCTCGTATTACACAACACACAATCTACGCTTTATTCTCTACATTTTCTATATTCATAGTTGAGCGAGTTATGAATTGAGTGTCGGAGAGTTTTCTGCTATGATGGGATTGCAGGTTATCGGAAGCTCGAGGAGGAGGATCGTTCAAGGTGAAAAGTGTTCAACTCGATCGTGACCAAAGGTGATATATCAAATTGGCGTCGTCTATGGGAACGTCTCAGTCGTTTACTGGTATAAGGGGCTAACAATATTCTCACAACTTGAAGATTCATAGACTGTTCAGGAAGCATACAATTAACCATGAAGGCAACAACGACAACAAGAGCATCAAAAGGCAAAGGTCCTAACGAAGGTCCCTTGAACAAGAAATTCACAGCAACGTGAATAATGAAAAAGGAATTCTGGAAATCTAAAACAAAACCCACCCAATACTACTCTTAGTTTTAGATCGGAAGATGTTGTAGATGTCCTTCTCCCACACAGTGATGCTTCGGTCATAAGCGTATAAATTGAAAGCTACGTAGTGCGAAGAGCTATAGTGGACACAGGCAGCTCAGTCGACGTGATATTTCTCTATTGTTTGGAGCAAATGGGCTAAAAAATAGGTTAGAGTCAGTTGACACAACCATTTATGACTTTGTTGGAGAGGAAGTTAGGCCAGTAAGCGAGGTGTACCTAACAATCGTACTTAAAGAACTACATTTAAAGATTGGAATGCTGACCAGGTTTATGGTGTTGAATGAAATTGCAGCCTATAACGTCATCCTATGGCAACCTAGTCTGAACTCCTTTCAAGCAGTAGTCTCAACCTACTATTTAAGGTAAAATTTTCAGTGGGAAGCCAGGTAGGCAAGCTCGGCAATGTTACCAAACTAACATGAAGAACTCGAAAAACCAAGGAAAAAAATTAGAGGCCCGAGCAGACCACCTGGAGAGCTCGAATAAAAGTGAAAAGTAAGAAAAATTAGAGATCTCATCACATGACGAACTCATGGAGGTTGAACAAATGGTAGGGGAGGTCGGCAAAGTCACAAAAGTAGGTTGCCACCTCCCAAAGGACATCCAGATACCCTTGATCACTCTGCAGAGAGAGTTTGTAGATATATTTGCATTCTCAGCAAATGACCTAATAGGCATAAGTCCAACAATCATCGAAGACTGACTCAGCATCGACCCGACAGGCAAACCAATTAAATAGAAAAAAAAGGCACTTCGATGCAAAACTAGACCATGTTTTCGATGAATAACTTGATAAATTACTGAAAGAAGGACACATCAAGACTATACAACACCCAGAGTTACTATCCAACAATGTCATGGTAAAGAAACGTAAGGAGAAATGGCAGATATACATCGATTTCAGAAACCTGAACAAGGCATGCCAGATGATCACTACCCTCTACTCAGGATAGACTAGTTGGTGGACTCAACTGCAAGATGCGAGCTCCTCAGTATGATGGATGCTTCACAAGGATACCACCAGATATTGTTGGCAGTAGAGGATGAAAAAGAGTTAGCTTTGTGACGTACGAAGATACATATTGTTATGTGATGATGCCCTTTGTGCTCAAGAATGCAGGAGCGACCTACCTAATGCTGGTAGATCAGATGTTCCAGACCAGGTATGACATAACATGATTACATGGACGACATGCTTGTGAAGAGTAGACATGATGAAAACCACGTAGCCAATATCAGAGTGCAGTTGAAACATTCGAAGCTTTGACATGAAGCTGAATCCCGTGAAGAGTAAGTATGGAGTTAGGTTAAGAAAATTCCTTGGCTACCTCATTATGGAGAAGGGAATCGAGGTGAATTTGAGAAAGTCAAAGTAGTAGTTGAGATGCAAGCAACAAAGAACCTAAAAAAAGGTCCAAGTCTTGATCGGACGATTACCCGGGCTAAGCAGGTTCATTGCCCAATCTGTAGAAAAGAGTTTCCCTTTTGGCCGAAAGGGTCTAGATTTGAGTGGACCTCCTAAGCTCAGCAAGCCTTTGACCACCTGAACAACTTTTTGGTAGAGTTTCCTCTACTAAACAAGCCCAAACCCGAAGACGAATTGGTACTCTATTTATCCATAAGCAATGTGGCTATCAGCTCAGCATTATTAACAAAATAGGGAGGTCAGCTGAACCTCATCTACTATTTTAGTCGCGTGGTTCAAGGTGCAGAGCAACGATATTCTGAGGTTGAGAAGGCCGCGCTGACACTGTTACCAATATACCAAAAAATACGACCCTATTTCCTGGCGCACAAGGTCAAAGTCAGAACCAACTACCCGTTGAATTACACTCTAGGCCGACCTTCACCCTCGGGGAGGATGGTAGAGTGGGCAGTAAAGCTCAGAGTGTATAATTTCGAGTTCGAGGTTAAAAAAATCCACCAACGCTTAATAACGGATGGATTTCATACAGGAATGCACGATGGAGAAAGAGGTCCGCCAGTGGCTAGTCTATGTTGACGGCTCCTCGGCTGTTGGAGTGGCAAGAATATTGGTGTTGATTATAACACCAGAGCAGGACCACCTCGAGTTCGCCATGAAATTACCGTTCAAATATTTAAATAATGAAGCAGAATACAAGGCACTATTGTAGGATGCAGCTTGTTGCCAGTGGGTAATTTTCCATTCAACGGGTAATCATTCACATCGGGTAATTTTCCATTCAGATTCTTTATTTGTGGTTGAGCAGGTCAAAAGAGAATATAAGGCCAAAGAAGAAAAGATACGAAGGCAAGAAGCCGAGGTACAGTTGTCACTGAAAGGATTTCCGACATAGGAGTTGTTGCAAATACCTAGAGGGAAGAACAGTAGAGTGGATCTGTTATCCAAGATTGAAGCATTGTTACTTGACTGTAGATCCAGGTCGATCACGCTACTGAACCAAGTGATGGAGCTCGCAGAGCATGAATATTGGAGGTCGTCACTGGTAGAGTGGCTCCAAAACCCCACAACATGGAAAGAACTGTAGAAGGACCTAATGACAAGAATGGTGTAGAAATCACATCAAAGCTAGTAGGGAAGGTACTACGATTAGACTACTTCTAGCCTGAAATGGGGGTTATGGCCCGCGATCTTGTTAAGAAATGCCTATAGTGCCAACAATATGGATCTATAATCCATTGATCTGTTGAGGAGATGATTTCCATGAGCTCGCAGTTACTTTTTGACTAGTGGAGGATGTATATAGTGCGCCCCTTGCCTTAAGAAACTGGTCAGAGAAACTTTCTTTTGGTCGCCATCGACTACTTCAACAAATGGATTGAAGTTGAGCCCTTAGCAAGAATCACTGAAGAGAAGCTCATCAAGTTCATGTTCCAGAACATTTTTTGCAGATATGACATCACAATAGTACTTGTCTCTGACAATGGAGCTCAGTTCAAGAGCCAAAAGATAACAACCTGATAGAAAGACATCGGCATAACACAACACTTAGCCTCTATAGCATCCTCAAGCAAACGGGCAAGCCGAGGTCACGAATAGATCCATACTGAGAGCATGGGTTGATGAGCTCGATTCAGTCATGTGGGATTGCATAACAACTTGCGGGCTTCCAGCATGTGGGAAAGTTACAACCTAACTTGGAATGACCTTACAAAGTGGAGCGGGTCTTTGCTGGTGGGGCATTCGATCTTCGAGAGAGAGATCTTACCTAGAACGTGGAATGTGGCTCACCTCAAGAAGTATTATGCTTATAAATGCTAACTCTTCTTTTGATACTTAGAGCATTACAGTTTTTAGTTTACACGCTTAATGCATATTTCCCCTTTATTCACCAAGTTTGGTGAAGTAATGAATTACGAACAATTAAAAGCACGCTTATGACTTATGTCGTCAAGTTGGATGAACTAAAAGTTGGATCAGGGCCTCTTGGTTAGTACGCTTCGGGGCCTCCCAAGGACTCTGTGTTTCAGGCACAAAGTATGTCATCAACTAAAAACTCAGTTATTGCCGGATAATAAGAATTGTTGTTAGTGCAATCCCACAAAGAGAGTGTTCAGCAGAACCTCATAAGAGGGCTGAGGGGTGCAAAGTTGCAGGGCAGAACTTCGAGCTGACAAGCTTGAAGGTCTCACAGAACCAGTCTTCAGTAAAACTTTGATTCCTACATTAGACCACTAGGCAGAACTCTAAGCCAAAGCTCGAAGGCCTGTGAAAGAACAATGTCAGGCAGAACTCCGAGCTGAAGCTTTGAGACCTATGAAAGAACAATGTCAGTCAGAGGTCCCAGTTGAAGCTCGGAGGCTTATGAAAGAACAATGTCGGGAAGAACTTTGAGCTGCAGCTCGGAAGCCTACGAAAGAATAATGTCGGGTAAAACTCCGGGGTGAAGCTCGGAGGCCCATAAAAAAGAGAAAAATTCCCTCAACAGACAAATCAAGCTCAGTCGAATGTAATTGAAAAAAGCACCGGTCATAAACATTAAAGCCGAACACGATTTGTAAAAAAGGAAGAAATTGTATTCATAAAGTATTGTCATTACAAAAAGACCCTCCTTAGGGGAATTAAAAAGAAGCATAAAAGAGAAAAGAAAACAAAAATCTAAGGGGACGTCGAAGATGATTCAGCACCACGATTCTACTCGGCTTAGGTTTTTACAAACTAAAGGGCTACGAAGACGGCCCCTTCCCACCAAGGGTGCTCGGTAGGGTTTTCATCCCAGCCGGTGGGGTTAAGGAGGTTCGACCAGGCCTTATCGTTATTGAAGGTACATGTGCAGCCCCAATAGTAGCTTGCGCTCAAGTTTTGGATATGCTGACCTAAATAAATTGCTGGACTGCTGGCGCCCTTGTGTAGAAGAACTCCTTTGAGTTCTTGAAGCAATCAATAAGCACATGTCGTCTTCTCCCAGAACGTCCTTCCTCGATCATATGTCGAAAATGAGTTCAGGCCCTCTTCACGGGTTGTAGCTTCGCGATCAACTCCAGAGGCGATAAGTTGGGCCAGGTCGGCCTGCAGACGAATAGCTTCATAAACTTCTGTCTTTGCCTTTTCTCGCTCGGTTCTCTAGGCTATTCAGACCATCTCAAGTTCTACCACCTTGGCCTTGACAACTTATAGTTGGGTATTCAGGTTGGTAATAGTAGCATCACGGAGCTCAAACTCGATCTTGAGAGTCGCCACTTCGACGGTAGGATTCTCTCCTTAAAGCTCCTCACTCAGCATAGGGCCAACCCACCTAAGGCCTGCAAAGGTCAATAAATAATGATGAAAGATGTTGGCAGAAGGAGCGAATTATGAGGCGAAGGGGGAAAGAATACCTGAATGGTGTGATTCATGATGTAGCCAGCCCAAGCAGCTCGAGCACCCCCGCCAGCACTCGTTCTCCGGTGGCGGAAAAATCTTCACCAGATAAGTTGTCTGCTCGGTCACGTTATTGGAGGTAGCAAACTTCGTAGGTTGCTCCACGCCCCACTCCTCTCTGAGGTCGCTTACTAGGTTTTTGCAAGTGTGGATCCTATTTCTTGAAGAGTCGGCCTGTCCGAGCTTTTCACCTTAAAGACGATTTGAACTGAGCTAGTATCATGATAAAATGCATATTAGTTGAGTATACTATTTCCTGACATGCATAACTTTTATTTATTAAGCACTAGCTCATGTATTTTATGCATGTGATGATATTGATACTTAATTGCTAGTGGTTCGTGTTGTTAGATCCAAAGGGTTTTGAGGACGTGTACATGAATGACTACATGTTAAGGAGACGAGAGGACTCAGGCCCTTTGTAGTTTGATTTCTTTTGACAACTCTGATGCAAGCTCAATCTTTCTCAAGTGTAAGTGGTTGAATTCTATTTTTACAGGTAAGCCTAAATGAAATATGTTGACTAAACCAACTCCCATTGTCTTATAACAAAGCGAACAAGCTATTCTGGTATTAACTTGGAATCTCGTGCATATAAATCACATTTTACTATGATCAATGTAGTTGTGGATCCCTAGAAAATGTATCTTTAGAAACCGCTAGTTCAATAACTCAGTCTCCTCTATTAGATCTACTTGCAGTTTGTCTCTTGATTTCTTTCCTGCTATTACGTGGTTTCATTTTCTCTATTCATTATGAATGAATCAACATAATCTTATTGGGTCCAGGTGCCATTCTTACATATTAGAAAGAAATTTTGAAAAGTTGTTTTCTCGAAGGGTAACTATAGAATACGACCCTAATCGGAGCAAATGATTCCAATTTCAGGCCATAACTCAAATGTACTAAGAATCGATTGACTTCTTTTATTTAGTGAATGGGATTCGAACCTACAAAGATATCACAACTTCTTGCTGGTCTTTGCATCTGCAGTTGGTGAGTATTTATATCTTGCATCAGGAAACCAACTATCGCTCTCTTTTTATCAATACGATGTCTTGCAGTTTTAGTGAGTCGGTGGTATTCTTTCTGGAAGCTTTTTGTTATCTTAACAACCTAGGTTATCTAACACCAGTGTTCTAAAAGTCGCCAGGGATCCGCTAGGCTCGATCAGCACCTAGAGCCTAGGTTGGGCCTAAAAATAAAGGTTAAATACCTTATTTTTTTTTATTTATTTTCACTATCTATAAAATAAAACTATCTAAACTTCTAATAAATCAACATACCCAGGTCAAGATAATAATATTAATATATTATAAAGAAATTATGATAATAAAATTATGTAATTCGTATTTAAAAAATTAAAAAAATTGAAAAATTGTCACTGAGCCCGCCTAGGAGCGCCAAGGCCCGCCTGACCAAATGTTTCAGCCGATCATTCAAATCGGAGGTCGCAGGGCGGCGCCTAGGCCTAGGCTGCGACATATGTCAATTTTCAATATAGTGTCTGGTACACGAGGAAGAAACTGGTCTTCGATATCATTACTCCTCACTTGTCTAACGTCATTATGCTCATTCGCAGAATGAACGCGAAGACTGCTTCGGTGTAGCTTGGCATAGAAATTTTTAAACTGTTTTAGAACCATT